TTTCTTTCCCCCACGTCCCCTTCCTCCCCCCTTTCCTCCCTTCCTGCTCCCTCTCTTATTCCCTGTCCCTCTATCTCGGGGAAGTGATCCCTGATCTGCGTTGGCAGATGGGGAGGGAGGAGGAAGAAGGGGAGCCTGGGTCCTCTAGGGAAGCCTTTGGCCCCTCTATGGGGCGAGCCCCCATGTCCCCAAGTGCAGCGGGAGACCAGGTGGAACAAGAGGTGTGGCCTGGAAACTGCCTCCGTCCCTCAGCATCTCAGACTCTGGGAGCCAACCGTGGACTTGCCAGAACTCTAGGAAACTCCAGTCCGCTCACAAAGCAGATCCAGGAGGTACGAGTCTGTCAGTCAAGCAGAGGGAGAAGTCCCCGTCTTAGCTTCTCTCTGGGAGCTGGTTGTGCCTGCAGAGAAGGCAGGAGAATGTAGGACTGCAGACCCCCGAACTGGGTGCTACAAGCAGCCCGAGGGACTCAGCCTTTCTCTGCCAAAGTCATAGTCTCTGTAAAGCCCAGTGCCGGTGGGAGGGACTTGGGACCGGCTGCTTGTCTTGGGCTCTGAGCATGTGCAGAGAATCGGGGCCTGAGCAGCACCCACTGGAAGCCTTGGGTAGCTGTGGAGCCTGGGCATCCGGAGAGCAGGAGCGACCGGTGTTTTGGGGAACCCAGCAGCACAGAGGGCTTCTATCAGTTCTCAGAAAGGAGAAGGATGTGGCCCCAGAATAAAAAACATCTTGTAGAGTCCAAAATATTTGCATCCAAGTTTCCCCTGCCCCTAACACTGAAAATAACTTCTCTCTCTGAGCTACAGGGTTCCCTCCTACCTGAGGCCTGATCCAGCCTCTCCTTCTTCCTGCTACAGCAGTTTCAGAGTAAAGCACCTCTCACCTCTGCCCCACACCCCTGATGGATGCCGGAGCAGCAGTGGCATTCTCTTTCCTTAGGTGCAGCCCTGAGACCCTAGAGAGGGTCGTGAGGGTCTAATGCAGAGCCACACCACCGGAGCCACCCTGATCCAACAAGAAGGGTGTAGGCAGTGAAAGGGAGAAAGCACAGGATGGAAAGAAGTTTGCTGTGAAACTTATTATGTGAACACTGGATCCAGTCCCAAGGGGAGAGTTGGTGAGTGTTGGAGGCCACTGGGTCCTCAGGGGCTCAACATGGTAGCAGGAACAGAGAGGTGTTGGTAGACTGGGGGCAGACCCACTGGCTGGAGGGGTTGTTGGTGGGGGACAAAAAATGGCCCCAACAGGAGGGAGCTTAAGAACAATCTACTCTGGAGGTACCAAGAGTCGGAAGGAATCTGGACACCCCGCAAACCTTGCATCTGGGAGTAGGAGGTTCCCAGTCTTGCTGGGATAAACTAGCCTGAGAGTCTGCCCCAGGGGCCAGGAGCAGAGATGAGGTTTGCTCACTAGGTACTGATAAACCAGCACTTTTTGCTGGATTTTAGTTCTGTGTGTGGGTGTGTGTTCGGTTCATTTGATCATTTTCTCATGATAAACCAGTCTGGATCAAGTATTTTTCTGCACCAACTCACCTTCATGTCAGCTCTTCTCTATTCATTATTAGGCAATTATAGTATGGGAAGTAATATACAGCAAGCTTTGGCCACCTGATGCGAAGAGCCAACTCACTGGAAAAGATCCTGATGCTGGGAAAGACTGAGGGCAGGAGAAGAAGGGGGCAACAGAGGATGATATGACTTGAGTTTGAGCAAATTCCTGGAGATAGTGAAGGACAGGGAAGACTGGAGTGCTGTAGTCCATGGGGTCGCAAAGAGTCGGACATGACTGAGCGACTAAGCAACCACCAACAACATATAGCGAAATAATGATTTGCAGGTGGACAGAATTTTCTCACTGGAGTTTTCACCAAGAGTGACACACAATCTCAGCTACAAAGCCTCTTTCTTGAACCTACCCTCACCTGGTGGCAGCATCCCCAGGTGGGTGATGCTGGGGATCCCTCAGTGCCAGATTCAGCCTGCCCTTCACTATCTCTGACAGCTTTAAGGGAAATAGCAGCTGTCTCCATGTAGAAATGAGATTTCCTAGGCAGAGATTTCATGTGGATTCCACCTGTGGCTCCTATGTGTCTCATGGTATGGGGCATGGTTACTGGGCCATGTGAGATTTCAGGATGGGCCCTATAGTAGTCTCAAGGCTAGAATCAAACTTCTTCCCAAACACAGACTCTGTGGTCCAGCTTCAGACCAAGCAGCGGGGCATACGCACGTGCCATGTTCCACGGGCCCCAGGCCTTTTGTTAGAGTATTTTTGACGCCAAGCCACTAAGGAAAGCAAGACGGGAGATGGGGTCCCATGGGCTGGTTGGGGATAGAGGGGATTTAAGCACCACTACAGTGAAAGGCCTTCCATATCCCCACCACCCACAAGCCCCAGGCTGAGGCTTGAGCCTCTATTGGTTCAAGTTCAGTACAACCTAGCTTCTCTAATCCATTCTTCTGTGGTGGGAGGCAGCCTCAAGGAGAATCAGGTCAGGACCATTCATGCGCTATACTTAACCAAGTTTCTCCTACACAGTGACCAGGGAAATGGAGAAAATCAGGATCTTCCTACATCTCCCCTGGGGGGTTGCAAATCCTTTCCAGGCACATAATGCCTGGCTCCCAGTAGCCATTCCAGCCCTAGCTTGGTTGCCCTGGTACAGAGAGATTGGACCCCTCTCTGATTTGCTCTCCTCCCCACCTATTGGTTCTACACCTGCAGAGGCAAGGCCTTGTATGGCCTCTTCATGGGGGCAGCTGTGAACTGCTATGGGTCTTCCTGGGCAAAGGGTCTCCTACTCAGGACTTCATGATGTTCAGGATGGTGACCCCAGCTCATGTAAGCACAACACTTCACAGTGTAGATCTCTGCCTTGTGGCTGTCCCAGGAAACAGATCATCCCCATTTCCTGGAGGAGGACAGTGAGACAGAAGTAAGTGGAGCCATGATGCTGGACTTGGAACTTTCCACACCATGTTAGGCTGACGAAGCACCCCGGCAAGGTCTGCATCAGGCAGAGTGGGGCTGGGGTCATCTTAGAAGGCTGGCTCTGCTCTTGGGGGCTTTCAAACCCTAGCTGCTTGACTTTTGAGTCAATCTCATTGTGAATGAATTAATTGTTGTGCAACCTAGAGTGTGAGACAAGTTAATTACATAATTACTGCAAAATGACACGTTATTTCATGGCTGCAATATGGTAACTCTGTTGGAAACAACTGTAATTGCCCAGAAACTGCATTCGAGTGGCTCTGTTATCTCTCGATAACCATGCAATTAACTTGCATTACAACTTTATCTGTGGCAAACTCCGAAGTTAGGAGTTGGGTTCTTGGGGGTGGGCACAGCCATCCTTAGACCTCAGGGCCCAGGGAGGGTCTGGCATTGGGGACTCTGCTACAGTCCAGAGAAATAATTTACTCGTTCATGTTGAGCAAGAAAAATCCCTCACTACGGACTTCAGCCTCCAGTTCATGCACTCAGATCCATTCAGTTTCACATGGTCACATATAGATGACAGCTCCTGGTCTCACCAGACTCACTCAAAAATACCCGCTGCAGCCTCTCTTCTCTCTCATATACATGGATGCAGCTCCTTCACAGAAAATGGGAGACCCAAAGTGGAGAACTCTTAACCCAAGATCCTTGGCCATAGCGATCCCTTCTTGTGGACTGGGTCACTGGCCATAAAATCATATCTTAGAGACACAACCTCCTCCAAGTGCCCCCAAGAGCCCAGGCATCCTCCCACATCACTCCAGGGGAGAAGCAGGCCTTGGGGCAGGTGACGTGAGGTCACAGTGCAGCCCCCACTCCATCCAGGCAACAAGTCCCTTGTCCAGGAGTAGGCAGAGCTTGAAGCTGTGGGCTGACTTCATCTGGGCTCTGGTCTGTGGCCAGGATAAAAACAGTCTCTGGGGAAGGGGAGTGAGTGGCCTGATGGTTGGAGGAGCCTGTCCATTCAGCCTTCTCTGTTCCGGCTTTGGATCCAAGGAGCCTCTCTCTTATACTGCTCAGTGATACCTTTTCAGTTCCAGACCATGTGCTTGGCACTGTGGCTACAGCTACGGCCTCACTCAGTCACTGCTTGTCTGGCTGTCTTCCGGTCTGAGTACCTGCCAGCTTCCTGGCTGTCCCTACCTGTCTCTGCCGACACACCCACCTACATGTGTGTCCATCTCTTCTTGTCAGCACACGTATCTGGCTGTGTGGTGTTGACGTGTCTGTTTGACTCTCTGGAGCAAACACTCCTGTGTCTGCTGGAGGGAATCGGCCTGTCTCGGGTCTCCCCGTGGCGTTCGTCCTCACCTTGATGTGATCTGTTTGTTTTCTTGGTTTTCCCCCTCGTCCTCAAGGGCATGGACTGTGTCCGATCCGTGATTCATCCTTGTCTGGTACTTGCAGCACAGGGCTGAGACAGAGCGGATTAAGGTTTGCCGACTGAATGAATGAAAACCTCCAGCCTGCGTGGGCTGAGTTACAGAGAAACAGGATTTTCTCTCTCACCCAGAGGAGCAGAATGCCAAGACCTAGGCTGTAAGGAAGGGACAGCAAATGTTGTCTGTCCCCCTGAAGGTGAAGAGAGGTTTCAGGATTGTGCTCCAATGGCAGGGAGCTGGGGATTTGGGGTCTTACCATGGAGGGAGATCAGAGCTGGGTCCCTGACTGAGCATTCTGGGGGGAATGTAACACAGGATCCCAGGAAAGGGAAGTTTTCATTTGGGGGCCAGGGTATATGGTTGCCAGAGGATGGGGGGTGGACAGCCTAGCTCCCACTTCTGGTTGGGGGGTACTGGGGGTTGTCCGTTCCCCTCCAGCTTTTCTCTGTAAACCCCACCTGGAACTCCCTTGCCCAACAACAGCACACACTAGAGGCCCACGTCCTGCTCTAGGGCCCTCCTCCCTGCCAAGAACTGAGGGAGGGCCTTGTTTTACTCCCAAGCCGAGGGGAGGGTCCCCCAGGTCTGTGTCAGTCACGTGATCAATGCAGAGTAACCTCCCCGGAAACATTCATAAGTTTAATCCACGCCAGTAATAAAATCGCATTACATTTCTCATAAAATAAATGTTCCCATTTATATACAGAAGACAGACTGTACAGGCCCAGCCTGGCCCCAGGAGGGGTCACACACAGACGGGCAGCGGCGGAAGGAGGGTCGTCCTTCCCATCGAGGACGGAGGAGTTCTGATCGGCAGGAGAGCGGCTGGCCGGCCAGGCGGGTGGGCAGGCGGGTGGATGGACAGACAGACGGGCCTGGAGGCCAGGTGCCGGGCGTTACTGAACGTGGGAGTCAAAGGTGCCATTCAGCTGCCCCTCCTCATAGTCCATCTGACACAAGATCATGTTGTTCTTCAGGAAGAATTTGTCTCCCACACAAAATCTGGAAAATCCAAGCAGGAGAATGAGGCCATGGTGGGGTCCCAGTGGATGGTGGGGGCTCCAGGCAGGACCCACCCAGCCCAGGAGGACGACATGTGGGCAGTGAGGTCCTGGGAGTCTGTGCCTCGAGCTTTCCAGAGAGGATCCTGGAAAGTCCCAAGCAAACCTGGCCAGTCACCCTGGCTCAGCCCAGGCCACAGGCTTCCTCTGCCAGGTCTCTCGGCGGGTAGGGGCAGGGGTGGCGGTGTGGGAAGGTGTAGAAATGATGCCCAGGAGAGGGAGAAAGAGAGATGGACAAAGAGATACAAAAAGACCAAGGGAGGAGGGGGAAGGAGAGAGGCAGAGATGAAGAAGGAAGAAGGGATAAAATGGCTGACTTTTCCAACCCTCTGTTCCCCACCCCACCTTAAGGAGATGGCTTAGTGAAGGGCACTCTTCTTCTAAACAGAATCTGTGGGTTTCCTGGAACATCCTTCCGGGAGGAAGTGTCCCACCATCTTCCCTCTAACCCAGAGAAGGCCCTGCCCCTCCTCGTCCTCCTCAAGCCCTGGAGGATTCAGCCCTTCCCCCAAAGCTGTCCCCAGGAGGTCGGAGGCCTTGAGTGGGACCCCAGGGTCACAGGCCCGGTCCCAGCCAATCCCGCTTCAACCACCAGGTGGCGCTGCAACTTCACCGCACCCTCCTGGCAGTGGGTCTGGGCACAGCCCCAGACAAATCAGTGTTCCCTGAAGGTCCCCCTGGACCTCAACCTCTGAGAAGACTTGTATGAGCTCTTTCCTGACCTGGGGGCTCCTGAACAAAGGGCCTGCCTTCTGGGGCTTGGCCCCTAGTCAGGGCTGAAGTGCTCTGGTTCCTTAGGTGCCCACGGTCTCCCACAGGGCGGCGGGGCACAGAGGAGGGGCCAAGAGACCAGAAAGAAGGCTGGGCTGGAACCAGAATCGCAGGAATGAGTGACAGTTCCCCAGGGGGATTTCACCCATAAGGTCTGGGAACCCCTTCTCATTAAATCGTCCATGCGGGTATCTCCATGTAGAATACACACAGGGCTGTTGTGCACACACATTTAAAACACACATGCACAGGCATACTCACCCATCACACACAGACCCATCTTGTACATGGACAGTTAAAAATACATGCATGGACACAACACACAATGTACACACAGCTCATGCATGGCCCTGTCGGTTACGTTTGCATAGACCTGAACTCCACAAATGAGCACACACGGTATCAGAGCACACACATTTGGCTAGAGGGCTCAGGCATATATAAAACACACACATGCACGTACATGCTTACAACATGCACTCAGAACCCACGTCTGCATGCATGCCTCCGCGGCACTCCTGGTCTGTGGCAGCAGGTGTCTGATAGGGGCTGCTGAGTGTGTTGGGTCTGGGGCAGACCAGCACTCACCTCTGGTTGCAGAGCTGGCAGGCGAAGCAGTCAAGGTGATATACGTTGTCCCGGGCCCGCATCACCATCTCGAAGGCTGGAATCAGCTTACTGCAGGCAGCGCAGTTTCCTGTGGTGCCGAAGAGCCTGCAGAGGGAAGGGTGTAGAGGGCTCAGGGGCCTGTGGGGGGCTGTGGGGGGCAGGGGAGTTGCCTCGACTCGGGGGACCACCTGCCCCCTACCCCTATAGTTCAGCAGGTGGGCCCGAGCCAGAGGGAAGGAGCACAGATGACAGTATCTAGCTTCTGCTAAGAGAGCAGGCTTCAGAGAAATTGACACAGCCACTCAGGAAGGAGACTGTGGGGACTCGGGAGTTGGTTGATACTGCCTGTCTCCTGGCTTCACTGACAATGAGGGCTCCCACTGGGGTCCCTGGAGCACCTGGGGCTACCAGAACAGTAGGCTGGGCCCTGGGCAAGGACTGCAGGTTCACACAAGCCTGAACTTAGACACAGTCTGACAGTCACGGGCTGTGTGTCCTTAGGCAAGTCATTGAGTTTCTCTGAGCCTCATTTATTTCAACTGTAAAATGGGGACTGAAACATACCCTTCACAGGCTTATTGTGAAAACTGTGACCTCTCAGCCACAGCTCCTATAGTGAATGCCTGCATAGCATTTGCTATATGCCAGGCACTGTTCCAGGGGCTCTCCAAAGACCAAGTCATTCAATCCTGACAAAAACCCTATAGGGTGGTCTTTTTCTGCTACTGATTCATGGTGTGACTTGCCTAACTCCCTTAAGCCTCAGTTTACCCTTCTTTAAAATGGGGATGCTGGACTAGATGATCCTGTTTAAAGATGGTTCTAAAATAGGACTGATACCAAAAGGAAGTTTCAAGGACATCTGGCACAAAGCCTCTTTGGGGCAGGCACCCCTCCTCTTGGCTGCTGATTGCAAAGCTCTAAGGACAGTGAACTCACTCCCTCCCCATGCAGGCCTGCCCTTGACTGGACACTCCAGGGGTATGCGCCAGCCAGACTCCTCCTCGCTTCCCTACTGCACACTGGCAGAGCAAGCCCCAAGTGAGGCAGAGACCGAGAGGCAGGCAGGAGGCCCTCTAATCCCTGATTTGTCCAGCTCAAGCTCAGGCGCCTGCAGATGAGCGTAGCTCCATTATTCATCAGCCTGAGCTGCCTGGTGGCTCAGATTAAGGCAGACAAAGGCTGGGCCACAACATCTGCCTGCCAAGAGGGGCCTTTCTGGCCACCAGTCCAATGAGAAGTAACCGCAGAGGGGCAGGTTCTGGACAGCCATTCTCTGGGACTGAGCAACTCGAGGAAACCCCACAGGCCCCCTGGCCTACTGGCCCAGGTGGCCTCAGAGTCATTCCTGGGCCTCTGCCAGAGCCCAGGAAAATATCTTCAGGCTCCAATAGCTGGCAGGGCCTAGGGGGCTTGTGGATGCATTGACCCTGTAGGTGAGCCCCTCCTGCACTGTGGCCACCCCTGGCCAGGTCAGCTGGTCTGCCATCTCCCCTCAGCCTGGTTGAGTTAGCCCCCAGGTGATGTCCTAAACCTCAAGACTTGGAGGCCACTTCCAGGTTGCCGAGGGGCGAGTCCCCAGTGCCTAACCCCTCCTCTTGGCCTCAGCATCTCTCCTCCAGCCCCAGTCTGAGTCACACATCTTGGTTTACAGCACCACTTCAAAAAAAAAAAACAACAAAACAAAACCTCCTGCAAAGGCAGAAGGTGTAGGCAGGTAAATCTTAGGCTCTTTGGGTAAGTAGGGGAGCCTCTGCTGATAATCGCACCCTCCCCTGCAACAAGCCCAGTCCTGAGCAGAGGGAGCCCCAAGAAACCCTGGCCACGACCTACTAATTAATGCGATAGGCCTTCCTTCCCCGCAAGACCCGGCCACCACCCAGCACCCTGCATGGGAGCCAAATGCAGATGCTGGGTCTCAGCCAAGGCCCCTGCCTGGTGGCCCCCTTCCAGCCTTGCTGATGTCATAGATGGCCTAAGGGGGGGTTAACTGGGGGAGGCAGCCCCGGGGAACAGGATCCAGGTTGTAGGGGAGGGGTGGGTTGGAACTCTGAGGAATGCAAGGTGGGGAAGTGTTGGTATTTTCACTATCTACAGAGGAGTGAACTGAGGCTGGGGAAAGAGGCTCAGAACTAGTTTAAATCCAGCATCAGTAGCTCTTCTAGGGTCTGGCTACCTACCAGACTCTGCAGGCATGGGGGTGTCTAATCCCAGGGCCCACCTGGAGGATGGGGAGCTGGGCCCTGGGGAGATTGAAGAGAAAACCAGCAGGCCAGGGGGGCTCAGGGAAGATGGAACTCACTCCCCTACTTGCTCCGGGAAGCTCCTCCACCGCGTCCCTTCCTAGATTCTAGGGACAGGGTGGGTCAGAAGTGCCTGGCAAAGGCAGAGGCAGAACCATATTGGTGCCCTTGAGAGGCTCCTCTTGGATGCCCGATGGTTAGAAACATGCCCGCCTTGGACAAGTGCTGGGCACCGAGGGTCAGGGGCGGGCATGTGTGTACACCAGGTGTGGGGTCTGAGGCAGGGCAGAGCAGTGCCAGCCGTGGAGAAGGGGGCTCTCGGGGTGGCAGGGCTGGGTGCGGGACAGGGGTGGGGGGTGGGGGAAGGCCGCCCACCTCAGGTAGTCGCGCCGGCACAGGATGAGGTTGGCCTTGGTGTAAAGCGTGGAGCCCACCTCGCCCAGGCGGCAGTCACAGCAGGCGCACTTGAGGCAATCCTCGTGCCAGTACTGGTCCAGCGCCTTCAGCAGGTAGCGGTCCTTGATCTTGCGGTTGCAGCCCGCGCAGCCCTTCTGCTTCCCTTTGGGCTGGACGGAGAGCATCGGCACACCTGCGGACGGACAGACAGATGGACACGGTGGACGTTGGGGCTCAGGACACGTCCCTCTGCTTCTTTCTGCTGCCCCCTCCCAGGATCCCTCCCTGTCTCCTTGGCAACCACCTCTCCTGGCCTTGGGTCCCACGCTGTGGGGCTGCAAGGCCCAGCCTCCTCCCCTGGACCATGAAGGTCCCTCCAGAAGCTGCAGGAGCCCCAAATCTGCTCGGCAGCAGGCACACAACCAGCCCCAGGGCCCAGCCCCCCTGAGTCACCCCTCTCCATCCAGCCAATGTCCCCTGTGCTGTGTGGCCCACCGTATATCTGAGGCCTCCTCAGGCAGCCCCTCAGCTCTTCCAGCAGCCCTGAGAAGCTCATCATGGGCTTGGGGTCCACTAGGACTCCTAGATCTGTTTGCCACCTCAGGTCATCCTCACATTGCAGTGTGTTTTTTATTTTAACCAGACACATCAGGCTAAAGTCTTGTGGTTGTGGGGGTGTCAAGAAGAAAGTGGGATGCTCCTGTGATACTCCTGGGGGCACAGGAGCTCTGGAGCTCCTGGCTAGCGTTGGGGAGACAGCGGGCCCTGGCCTCATTGGTGGCCTCCCTAGGAATGTTTCTGCCTGTGTGTCTGCTCAGTGGCTAAGTCTTGTCCAACTCTGTGACCCTGTGAACTGTAGCCCGCCAGGCTCCTCTCTCCATGGGATTCTCCAGGCAAGAATACTGGAGTGGGTTGCCATTTCCTGTTCCAATGGGACTTCCTGACCCAGGGATCAAACCTGTGTCTCTTGCATCTCCTGAATTGGCAGGCTGATTCCCGCTGGACCACCTCCGAAGCCCCCAGGAATGTTTCTAGCTAGATTCAAACTTCCTACCTGCCCTAGCCTGAGGAAGGGGAATTTCAGTGCCTCTGCATCCTTGCTCATCCTACCAAAGTAAGAAACTTGGAGACTCTGGCCGGCTTCCAGGGTCCATATGATTCCCAGCACACAAGAAAATGGTGAGTACAGAGGACAGGAATCTCAGCATGGCCTTGCCTGGAGGGAGGGGCAGACCACCCAACAGCAAGCAAGTGCATTCACACGCAACCACTGGTCCCACATGCAGGCGTGGGCTTGCATATGCACAAAGGCACGGCTCCCAGGGCCCCAGCCCTGAGGCCACAGGGAGGGGTGGTTGAGAAGGAGGAAGGGGCAGATGTCCCCAGGGGACCTGGAAATCCATGTGGAGCCCTGAGGCTCCAGTGTGGAGAATTCCAGGCTTGGACGAAGTGTGGGGGGTCTCAGAGACAGGCTGGACAGTGGGGTTGCCTGTGACACTTGTCTGAGAGCCCCTCACAGGGGTGGTGGGGGTAGGGGGTGTTCCTTCCCTGACCAGGGCACTGCTGGGCTGAGGAGTCGCCTCTGGAAGATAAAGCCCGCTCTTTCCTGTCCCCTCAGTTTTCCAACAAGCCCCTGAAGGCTCCCTCTTCCCGGGCCCATCTTCTCCAAAGGACCCGCGTACTCTCCAGGCTCTGGGTTCAGTTCCAGTCCCAGGGCACCCCTCCTCTCGGCCCTCCCCCTCACTGCTCCCCCCACCCCCACTGCAACCAGAGCTGCTTCCATTCCCTTCCTTCCTCCAGGGGTGACCCTTCCTCAGGCTTCAGGAGAGAAGTAGCTTCCAAAGGACCTCAGTCTGAGTCCACAGGTGTCCGGTCAGAGGGGTCCCGGAAGTTCTTACAGGCAAATGCTCTCATTCCACAGGTGGGGAAACTGAGACCCAGACAGGCCAAATGGCTCATGTAAGCCCCGCATCAGGTTGGCCTCTGGGGTCCTGCGTCCCTCCTGTGCTCTTCTGGGCCTCGCTGCCTCCTCTGGGAGAGGGGGCGGCCCTGGAGAACCCAGGATCAGTAAGACAGGTGAGAGCGGCGTGGAGGCAGGCCAGGCTTCCTGTGCTGGGCTCGCTCCTTCCTCCCTCCTCCAGTCCCCGCAGGGCCCATCTGTTAGCTGGGAAGTCCGCTGCCTAATTTCCTTAATGCAGCTCTAAAGGTTAATTGGTCTGAGAGAGTGATGGGGCTCAGGTTGGCTGTGTCCTCAGGCCTGCCTGTGTCTCCGCTGACAGGGGCCAGCCCGGTCACAGAGCTCTGAGGAGCCCAGAGAGGCTGGTTGGGGAGCAGACATGCCCGCGAGCTGAGGGGGGCCCAGGAGGCCCTTCCAAGGCCTGGCCTACAGGGAGCAAATGCAGGAAGGATTCGAAGAGCTGGGTGTGGGAAGGTCTGGGGGCTCCCGGGGGCAAAACTGTCCCTGGGGCCTGTGGAGGGATAGCCAGCCAGCATAGCTATGCATATAAATTCCAGCTTGGAAAACCCCAGGCAAAGCCTCAATCCAGCCTCCCTAAGGCTGATTTTCCCCTCGTTCCCCTGGGCTGGCAGCAGGCCTGGCTCCCTTCCCAGACGTGCTGGGCCCTCCCAGGGCTCTACACTTGTGCTTTCGCTGCTAGGGGGTTGGGGGTGGCTGGAACATCCTTACTCAGGGGATGTACCTGGTCCACTAAGTTATACCCCCAAATGAAGGGGGATCCCAGCACTAGGAGTGTCTGTCCTGCTCCATATTCCATCTGGCTTGACTCCTGGAGAGGCTAAGCCTGCAGGGCTATGGGCCACATGGTACTGGTAATTCCATCGCCACTGGGACGGGGTACCTGGAGGACACAGGGAGGTTATGGGGAGTGAACCCACATGCTGCCCCAGGTCCCCAGCCTGGCATAAGGTAGGTGCTCTGTAAGGCCTGAACACCCAGCTCCAGGCTGGGTGCTTACTGGACGCTCTGCTTTCTGGGCTCTGGAGAACTCTTAAGAAGCCATGTGGCTCCTATAAGTGTCTGATGTCCACTGAGACACAGAACACCAGGGTCAGCCTGGCCAAGGAGGTTCCAGAGCATCCAGGGACCTTGTGCTTTCTCTGCCTAGAAAGTCTGAGGTCCTGGAGAAAGTCTGACTCACTCCTCCCTTCTTTAGGGAACACTCACGCTATTTGCTCTGCCTGGGCTGGTCCAGGACTTGAAAACACCCCTGGCAAGGTAAAAGGGCTTTAAGGAGGACATCTATGGTCCCTGTTTCCCCAGTTGGAACAAGATGCTCCCCAGAGGGTCCGGGCTCTTCCTCCCTGTCCTGCCTCCCCCGCCCCCATCCAGCCTGCCAGTCGGCCCTGCAGACACCTCTTCCCACCCTCCCTCCCCTGCCCGGCTCTGGGAGCTGAGCCTCGGGCCATGCACTTTCCATTAAGGAGATAGCATCCTTTTGCTGAAGTCCATTTGGGATCCATTTTAGTGTTATCTAAAAATCAAATCTACATGGTAATCCTTTTAATGTACTCCTGACTTTAGAAAAAAACAGCTTTGCGCTCCTTCAGGAAAGGTTTTAAAGCATTACCCAATAATTACTACTCACCCATGAAAACACTGATATTTTACAATGGATGGTGTTTGCCCCTGCACGCGCGTGCAGGCTCACGCTCAGACACACACACACATACACACGGGACCCAGCAAAATAAACTAATTTACTCAGCTCGAGTGTTCCCCCGAATCTTGGGGTGTGCAGGGGGATATTTGAGGGGAGATGAGCCCAACCCTTACCCTACCCCTACCCTGGTCGGGCTGAATTCCCTGGGCGGGCTGATGCAGGAAGAAGGCAGGCTCCCAGTCTGACTCATCCGGCTGCCAGACACTAACCCTCAGCTCTTTAATCTGGGGAAAAGCCAGACAGTCCGGGTGACCAGGAGGGACTGCCAGAGGTCATTCAGCTCTTCCCACACCCCACGGAGTGGTCTGCCAGGCCACACTCAAGTCTTCAGCAACTCCTGCCACCTACCCCCGGCCAGCCTGCCCCTCAGATCGTACTTTTCCAAAGTGCCCAGGCTACTGGCTCATGGGCCCACCCATGCCTCCAGTTTGGAGAGCAGGCTGAGCACAACTGTGGAGCACTCCCTCCGCTCCTAGTGATCTCAAGGGCCGGTCCTCCTCCCCAGAATGCCAACACCATCCAGCCCCGGGTCACTCCAGGTTACGCCCTGTGGCTCCCCTGCTGGAAGCCACTGTGGCCACCACCCAGAACTCCACCTGGTATTTGAGGCCCCTTCCACTGTCTGGCACTACTGGCTCCGCTCCCTGCAGAATCTAGGAATAATATTCCCTTTCCATCCTGCAAATGGATCTCGTCTGCTTCTGCCCCAGAGCCTTCCTTTCACCATCACTCCAGGAAGAAAAATGCCTGGTCCTGCCCACCCCACTCTTACCCAGAGGTCAGAGTCAACAGTGGAGCTGAGGCTAAGAGCCTAGACTCTGAACTCAGAAAGCCTACTTTCCAGTCTGGGAACTGTCCCAAGTCACTGTAGGGCCTGGTGCAAATCCCTTTATCTTTCCAACTCTCATCTGTGAAATGGGGCCATACCAGTTTCCTTCCACCAGGCTGTGGTGACGACAGGACGAGGTTCTGCATAGGAAGCCACAGCCCAGAGTCTGGCCACTGGTTGGGACTGACAAACAGATGTCTGTCTATTGTTACCATGCACCCTGAGAAGTCTTCCCTGTTCTGACACTAGTTTTCTTGCTATTTAACTTTTTATCTTGTCAACACCTCAAACTTTCAGATTTTGCAAGAACAGAAAGAATTCATGTATACTCTTTACCCCAAACCTCTAAATATGAGCTTTTTAAACCATATTTACTTTATCCTTCCCTGTTAATCTATGCAGCTACATCCTTTCCTCCTTCCCTTCCTATAATTCTTTTCCTGACTCAGTTGAGAGTTGGTTTCAATAAAAAAGCCCCTGTACCCCTTAAAACTTTGGTGTGATTTCCTAATACAAAGGATAGTCTCTCACATGACTCCAGTACAATGATCAAAACCAGAAAATTACCACTGATCTAATACCATTACCCATCCATTCAGATTTCATCAGTTCCCCCAATAATACCTTTTACGGCAAAATAGAAGTCTGGATCCTGCATTTCATTCAGTCGTCAAGTTCAGTCTA